TTTCTATAATTAAGTAGTCTGTTTCTAATGGCATATTTAAATCAGGAATATTTTTTATTTTTTCTTTGCTTTTTTGTACTAATTTAATGTCTTCTATGTTGAAATGTTTTTGTCCTGTAGAGTCCTGTTTTTAGCATATAGTGGTCCTGCTATTTTTCCAAATTTTTTTAAAAATTTCTTGCATATTTACGATTCCTAAAAACTTTTGTAGTTCTTTAGTATTGTCTAATTTATCTGGCATTCTCTAGAGCCTTTTTAGCTATATGGGGTTGTAATTTAATTTTCCATCCCCTAAAACTACTCCTAGAAAATTGATATAATTTTTACATAGTTCCATTTTCTTTTTACTAATTATTATTCCATTATCTACAAATAATCTAAATGCGGTCTGTAGATGTCCTAAATTCTCTTAATATCCTTACTAATACTAATATATCGTCTACATATACTAAAACAAATCTCTTATATTCCCAAATATACTGTCGCATTTTGCGTTGAAAAAATTGGTGGAGCTGTTTTTAGTCCGAACGACATTATCCGACCATTCGAAATGCCCTTCTGACAAGTAAATGTTGTCCATTCAATATACTTTCTTCATGCATTTTACTTGCCAATACCCTGATTTACAATCCAAACTTACTGAATATCCTTTTCCTTGTATTCTATTTATCAGTTCTATTTTGTCAGGTAACTTTAATATCCGTCTGTTTAATGTTATCATTAAGTCTCTTATAGTTTATTACCATTCTGCTTTTCCTCTTATGATTTGATTGTGATTTCTAACCATGAAGGCTGCTGACCTATGTCTAGAAGTAGATCTCCTTATCACTCCTAGGCTCATAAGTTCTTCAATTTGATTTCTAAAGTCTTCTAAATCTTGATTTGTAGCTTCTATTGAGGCTGTTTTTAATTATATATTCTGGGTTAATTAAATTCTAATTTACACATAACTTTATTATTTTCCCAATGTTTTAAAAGTTTTTTCTCCTATTATTTCTATTTCATCTAATATTTTTATTATATTATCTAGATCCTTTTCATTTTTTATTATTCCTATTTTTGGTATTCCTGTTTTTAAATTATATAACTCCTGTTTTCTATATCTATTAGAGTATAGTCTTTTTCTAATATATCTTTATCTTCATTTCTTCTAGTATTAAGGTTTTTAGATTCTTCTTTAATCTTACAACATGTATTTTTATCTTTACATTCCTTACAACATTCTTTCTGATTTTCTTGTAGGTTTTTCTGGTTTGCATTCAATCGTGTCCTTATCCTGTGCTTGCAGTTTCTATTGTTTTACTGGTGTATGTGTAATATTTTTAAAATATACTCATCCCTACTGAGTAGGCAGCTACCATTGTTAATGTATTATAAAACTTAACCCTAATACAAAAACTACATTTATATTTAAGTCTCTTACCCATATTTTATCTACTCTTGAGCTCGGTTTATAGAAATCTAAACATGTGTTTATAAAGCTAATCTGGGATTTATCTACATAATGTCTCCTAACACAGGGAGAAGCATTAAAAAAGAAGGGTATAATTTCTAAAAAGAAAAAAAATGAGAAAATAGAAGCATAATTAAAACAGACATTAGAAAGTTTCTTTCAAGAAAAGAAAAGCAAGACAAACAATATGATCAAAAGTCCTAGTTTTAATCCGAGTCCAGAAAGAAGTCCAGAAAAGGTCTTCAAAGCTCAGGGGAAGATGATGATAATGAAGACCACTTAAATTATCAAGATGCCAAAGATCCATACGAAGATGATTTCTGGAATGAGCTTGTGATTCATAGCTTCTACATAACTTAGACACGTAAAAGGAAGCGAGATCTCAGTTAAAAAAAAAAGAGCAACAAAGACAAAGAGCAATAATTCGGGAGACAATTGAAAAAGAAGAAGTGACATAAAGAAAAGAAGACTTGACAAAAGGTAAGTACTACAAGACAAGCTGAAATTTGAGTGGAAAGAAAATAGTCACAAACACTAAAGAAATCCTGCTAAGCATGTGAAGATGGGGCCCATGAAGTACCCTACAAGGCTAGACAAGAAAGATTTCTGGAAGGCGTTTGGAGTCCATTTTGAATCCGTCTCAAAAATTTAGCTATAAAAGGGAGAAAGAGAGAGAAGACCACTACACAAGAAAGAACACTCTCAGAGCCAAGCCACCAAAATCTCTCCTTCATCACCACCATCCTCCAAACATCTTGTAATATACCTTGTAAATATTTCCTTATGTTGCTTATAGCAGTTTTACCTCGAGTTTGTAAAATAAATAAATCACTAATGCTTGTGTGTGCCGAGATCTTAATTCCCAAGTCCGAAATACTTTTTGGGTTTCCGAAAGGGAAATCTCTCTCTGTAAACACTGTTAAGTTACTCATTTTATACTAAATTATGTGTTCTGGATATTACCCCTGTTTTACAGTTTTATGTTATTATGTATAGTTTTTATTTATTATTCAATTCAATTAATTGTAGGTATATATAACATACATATAAGTGTGTTGTATGTATAGATATATTATATATAATATTATATATAATATATACCGCTCTTAGTATATGGTTGATCTTTTCCAATTTTTTTAATAATTTTGTGAGATTAACCTATAAATTCCTAGGAAAACCGGTTAAGTCAAAACCCAACATTAACGAAAAATGGGTATATATTTTAACGTGGCCAGGTGGGGTTAATGAAAAAAGAGTTAAGAAAAAGATTAATTTTTAAAAAATTGGAAAGAAGAGATGAACAGAGTGGAATAAATAAATAAAAATTGATAAAAAAAAAGATATAGAAGGGTAATTTCAGGGCATAATTTTTGATAATACTGTAACGATATAGGTCTACAGAATAAGAGAGAGAGAGAGTACCGAGTAGGATGTTACAACATAAGAGTTTAACGTTTTTTACAACACTAAATTTACCGTACCAGTAAATATATTTTACTGAACCAGTAAATATTTCAAAAAACAATATTACTGTTAATGCCCTATTAATCGTAATAACTATACCCATCCAGAAGGATTTGCTAGAAGCCTTATCTCAAGTCTAGAAGAATTTAAAATTAAGCATAGATACCGGATTCTACTCTATAATAGACTTAGCTATACATTTTATATATTTACAACAAAATAAAGAATTTGTTCAGATATATAGAAAATAATCTATATCTTATATTTCTAATACTATCATATCATCAGTTTTACTATTTAAGATCATATTATATAAGAAGAAGATTATAACTTGAAGGATCAGACTTTATCAATTTTTACTTTGTTAGTTTATTCTAGATTATTATAGCTATTTATTAATTTGATTTATTTAACTTGAAAGATCAGACTTTATCAATTTTTACTTTGTTAGTTTATTCTAGATTATTATAGTTATTTATTAATTTGATTTATATATATATATATATATATATATATATATATATATATATATATATATATATATATATTTGTGACTATTATTTTTAGGAGCGGCTATATAATATAATTTTCCTATAATTATGGTCAAAATAGCACGGTATAGCCAGTTTTCGGACTGGTCATTCAAAAATAGCCACTATTTTGCTGCAACATAGACCGGTCCAGCATAATATACTGGAGTTCGGTGCACCTGTGTATGAACTCCAGCATATTATGCTGCACCGGTATACTTTGCTGGCTCCAGTATAATATACTAGAGACTGGAGCACCGGTGCTCCAAACTCCAGTATATTATGTTGGACCGGTATACTTGCTGGAACTCCAGTATATTATGTTGGAGTTCTAGTATACTTATGCTGGAACTCCATCATATTATGCTGGAGTTCCAACATACTTTTCCTGGAACTCCAGTATAATATGCTGGAGTTCAAGTATACTTATGCTGGAACTCCAGCGTAATATACTGGCGTATTTTTCCGGGTTTTGAACAACAATTTCGCTCAGATTTATCTTTATATAAAAAGTGGCTAAACTTCGATTACTTTTAAAACTAGGCTATTTTTGAACGATCAGTTGTAAATCTGACTATTTTTGAATTTCACCCACTACATTGTCACACGAATCCTGAAACTGGGCCAATCTAAATTGCTTTTTCAGGGGGCATTTGCATCTATACCCGCTTTTTGTACCACATTTTAACCTGTGCCCGCTTTGCAAAAAAAATTGCAAGCGTACCCGCTTTTTCGCATAACTTCAGCACACGGGGCTGAAGTAGCAAAGGCAATCACACAAAACTTCAGCATTTTAGTAGCCGGGCCTGAAGTTCAGCTCTAGAGCTGAAGTTTTATTTTATAAGTTTTTGTTTTGTAACCGGGATGAAGTTTGCCAGTTATAAAATAAAAACTTCAGCTCTAGAGCTGAAGTTTTTCTTTTGTACTGGAAAACTTCAGCTCTAGAGCTGAAGTTTTTATCTTTGTAACCGGAAAACTTCAGCTCTAGAGCTGAAGTTTCTATGTTGTAACTAGAAAACTTCAGCTCTAGAGCTGAAGTTTTTGTGTTGTAACTGAAAAACTTCAACTCTAATTAATTGTATTAACTGTATACAGTTACATCTAATTAACTGTATTGTGATCATCTAATGCATCCGATTTTGCGTTCTGTTTTTATTGCAAAATAAATGCTTTGTTGTTATGTTATTTCGTTTTCGAAAACTTTTCTTTTTAACATTTGAATCTCTGATCGCTGATGATCAGTTTCTCCATTTTCTTTACGGTTTCTATGTTTTATCTATATTACAACATATTTGATTTTCGTGTTGCTGTTTTTTTGTTGGATAAAAATTGGTGCCTTTTTCTGATCAATGGTATGACCATATCATTCCTCAGTCCTCACGGAGTTGTGTTTCCAGACAATGAGAAAATGAAGAAGGAGAAGGGGAGAAGAAAGGGAAGCTGAAGTTTTTTAAAAAGTGGGTACGGGTGCAAACAGAAAAATAAAGCGGCTACAGGTTAAAAAGGGGCGCCCTTGCAATTTTTTCCTTTTCCAGACAGTCAAACGTAAAAGCCCATAAATAACTAAACTGCAAAGGGGGTTTGTTGATTTTCCTTTCACTGTAAATTTCATCTTTCAGCAATCAGCGCAGAACTAAGGGACGAACACCTCTTTTCTCCGGTAATCTCCCAAAAGTATCTCAACCCTTTAACACACACATAGATATTCAATGCTAATACGTATATTCTTTTCTTTTTTTCTTCTGAATTTTGTTTCTCATTCTGATAGTAGGAATTCAAAATTACTTAAATTTGGTGGCTTAATAGTTCATTCATCAGCATTATTTATCTCAGAAATTTATGCATTTATTACAGTTTAATTCAATTAGAATTGAGAATCGAATTTCAAATATCTAGTACTTGCCCAAAGTAGGGAAATTAGAAATTTTGGTATTTTAGGGTTTATATGTGGTTTTTGTGATGTGGGTTTGGCAGCAGAAGCCCTTTTAAATGATGGTTTCCTCGAAATCCTTAAAAGTTTCTTTCAATTATCGAGCCTGAGGTTAGAATTGATATGGGTACTAGTTAGAATGCTTGTTAATCATTTTTTCTGGACGACTGTTGTTTCTTATAACTTACTTATTTATTTGCTTATATTTGAACCATTGCTTGATCACACCTGCATACAAGAAGTTTGCCAAAAGTAGAAAACTTTACAAAGTCACCCTATCTTTTATACAAATAGGAATCTCGTAGGTGCCCCAAAAATCAATACGGGATAACTGGCTACTCCTCAAGTGTACAAATCAATTTCCACTCCTTCAAAAGCTCTCCTATTTCTCTCCCTCCAAATTGTCTGCGTAAGTGCTAGAGGAGCCACATAGTAGGACTTCACAAAAAATGCACCACTGTTTCACGCCCCCCATCTCCATGCATCACGACTATCCTGAATAGTATTTCGTTTGTGGAGCAATTCTACCAACCCTTGAAATTCTGCAACCTTTCTTGATTTTTTTATGGTATCATGCCATGCTTATCTTCTCTGTATTTCCCAATTTTATCTCTGTCCTTGAAGGGATATTGATCTGATACATGGTGATATTCATAATTGAATTATAGGAAATAATTTTTTTTATTAATTATTACTTCCCTGCAGAGATACCATCGATTTGTTATTTGAGTTGAAGAAGTCATACTGGTTTAGTGGGTCTGACGAGGAAGGTGGAGAGCAGAATACTTGGAAAAGATGCTTCAGATCCGGCTTAGCAAACCAGCCAGTGAGAGTGGTGGAGGTGCTAAGTCTTTACCTTCAGACAGTATTACAGTTGCTTGTCCTGATCACCTTGTTTTAGCTGATCTTCCTGTAGCCAAGAGCCTTGGTTCAGCAAATACTGCTTCTCTGCTCAAGACTGTTGGCCGCAGGTCCCGTCGCCAACTTGGTGAACGAGTACATTTTTGTGTCCGTTGTGACTTTCCAATTGCTATTTACGGACGTCTGGTGAGTATAGAATGTTCAGCTGCTTTTTTTGCCTACTTCATTGTTGTTATACTGGTCCTTGGGTCCTCTGTCCCTGAGGTGCAATGTGTTTTCAATCAATGATATTCCTACTGTTACTGATCTATACCGATTCCACCAACAATTGAGATGCTAAGACTAGGCTACCTGCTGGCTGCTGCTGCTACTTTGTACTATTTTTTCTTTTGATAACCAAGAAATCTCTGAGGGCAAGCGACGCATGGTTCGAAACTCGGTGGATAATGGGCTTGCCTCTTTTGACCAACAAAAAGGAATTACGTGGTCATATTTTTGGTGCCAACTTCAGTTACTATTATGGGGCCTTTAGAATTGACCACTACTTGATATCACTCTCACACCATCACTTGGTTGAGAAAATATTTTCCCTTGTAAATCCCCTAGCATAATATCTTTTACATGATCCCAAGAACTCAAGGGGCACCAAAGATGAATTTTGAATTTTCAACTCTATTTAAATTAATTCCCTTTAAAGGTAGGAGTAAGGTCTGGGTACACACTACCCTCCCCCGACCCCACTATGTGGAATTATACTGGGTATGTTGTTGTTGTTCAAGAATAATAGATTGTCTATGTCATATGTTGTAGAACTTATTTTTGTTTCAAAGGTTATGAATTTATTGAATAAACTATCCTCTTTCATAAACTAACTGGTTAACGCGTTTCCTATTGTCTTGTTGTGTCAAATGTGGCAGTCTGGCGGAACTTTATTCTTGCTACTACGAAACGGTTGTATGCCGTAAACTAACTGGGTTATGCTTTTAAAAGCTAGTGTATGACATATGGTGAATGTTATCAATGTTATGAACGGATTAAAAAACAGTGTCAATGATATGCATTTATATTTACTTTTCACAATTATATTTTAAGTCAAAATGACCTTTACTATCTTCTTTTGCAGAGTCCATGTGAACATGCCTTCTGTTTAGATTGTGCCAGGAGTGATTCTCTTTGCTACCTGTAAGCTGTATATCCTGTTTCTCTCACTCTTAAGAGTAAATTCTATCAAGTCTTAATGATATATAATTATGAAACTATATGTCTTATATTAATTTGGACCACATTAAAACTGGCAATTCGAAAGAGGAAGGCAACGATGTAGTGATTTATAGGGATTCCACTGCTGGTAGAAGCATATGCTACTATAAGGTGTATGTTTTAGCTCTTGGCCGTTGTAAAACCTGAATTTCGCATCAAATTTATCAAGTGACGTTTCAGTATCATGTCTCTATTGTTTCTTTTTTGTTCCCTGTGTTTTAGACTGGTGCATTGACATCTTGGCTTTTCTTTGTCTAATACAATGTCAACTTGAGCTAATTGTTGGAAAAACATTTTATTAGAAATTCTTTTCCTAGTTAGATAAATTTTGCTCCTATTAAGAGCTTCATCAGCCGTTGTTATGGTAGATGGTTGATTTTAACTCTGACTGGGCCTTCCTCTCTCAATGAAGTAGATTATTTAGAAATTTGGAAATCTCATCAAAACGAATTTGAGATTGTCGTGATAAGCAACACCCAGAGAATTATCATGCGCCCCTTATTAAACTCTAATTGCTACTTAATTGTTTGAAAGGAAACTAGGTTGGTTAGTTTTGCCCATTTTCCTGTTCCAAACTTGTTTCGTCAATCTAATGAGTACGAAATGAACTACTTTATTTTTTTCTTTTTCTGATTCAGCTGTGATGAACGCATTCAGAAGATTCAGACAATTAAATTGATGGAAGGGATCTTCATCTGTGCAGCTCCGCATTGTCTCAAGTCCTTTCTGAAGAAGACTGAATTTGAATCTCATATTCATGAGAACCACGGTGATCTCCTTCATCAAACTGCAGAAAAAGATGGAAATGTTTCGGAGTCTGCCAGTGCTAGAAAACCTGCTGTCTCTGATTCTACAGTGCAAGCACCACCTAGGCTCCTATTTTCTCCGAGTTCAGGTTCCCAGGTACATGATCGTGAAGACAAAGCTCATCATTCTCAAACTAGAGACCAACAGCCTCCTAGGCTTGTCATGCAACCAAAGCCAACACCACCTTTCGCTGGTTCAATCCAAAATCATCCATCAGAGCAACAGTCCGATAGTAATCCTCCTCCAGGCTTTGAAAGGCCTGGCAGCCAGAACCGGTTTCCTCAGCAAGGTTTTGACACACAGGGCGCATTGCGGCCTGAGCCAGGTCAGTTTCCAGACAAGCAACAAGGGATTATAGGGGGTTCCCCTTTTCATGAATATCCTATGCACATGACCCAACCTCATGGCTTTGCGGTGCCTATGAGTTCGAATCCAGGCTTGGCTCCTCAATTTGGTTATCCTCAGTTTGCACCCGATGGAGCCCAACCATTTTATGGTGCCCCGTTTGAGATGCCTAGGCCAGACTCAACTCCTGAAATGGGATCAGAACAAGGGTCTTTGCTAGGTTTTCCACCCGGCGCTGCAGGAAATATGAATTTTGCAGAAAATTACCCTCGGTCATGGAATATGGGGCAGCCGGTTGGGCCTTTTGAGCCCACTGCAGTTCAACCTCCTGGGGATGGTTTTGTAAATGCCGCTGATCCTCAAGGAAGACCAGTATTTTTCCAAGGAGACTATGGAAGGAATCCCGGTGTAATGCCCTCAAACCTGCCACCTCCACCTTCAGCCAACCGAGGATTGGAAGGCGGACAGAGTGGAAATTCAATGGACAACAGAGATAGCAAGGGTATATTGATGCCACAACCTATGGCCCTTCCACCACCCCCGCCTTTACCTCATCCCATGTCACAACTTCAAAGAGGAGGCAGGCACTACTCTGATGCAAATCATGATGGACAGGGCTTTGGTTGGCAACACGAGAAGCGTGATAGTTATGGAAGCAGCCAGGACTAGTGATGTTTTTATTGTTCCTTTATCTTTCTGTTTGTAAGAACAGTGCTCATTTTGTTTGCCTACACTGTATGTTATTGTCCTAACTGTCAACATCATTTTACTAAAGCCAAAAGGCTGAGTTCCCCGATTTTTGCCCTACATGAATTGCGCTCTGCTTCAGTAAGTTATTCAATATTCTGCTGCTCCTAAATTGAGGCTAGCATTGCATGAGAATTAAATCATTTTCCTAAACATCCGGCATATGCATAATTTCCTTTCTGTTACTGAATTGCCATGTAATTGCAACAATAGTAATTTAAGCAAGCAGCAATTACACATTCATTGTTTTGTTGCATGAGATTGAAAAAGAAGAAAAAAGGTCATTTACATACAAGTGTTCTTATGAGCTGCTCGAATATCCAATTGGCTAATCATGTTGCTATCTTACAACTTGGTTGGACCATAAAATGATTTGCTTCGCAAGAAATGGATGTATATAATCAATCAATCAACTATACTTCAATCCGAATTAGTTCAAATCAGCTATATATCAATCTTCCGTATCAATTTTTGAGGAAACGTACACAGTATATGTGCAAATTACAATCTCTCATATTTTGGTGCCCCTCAGAGCACTTGCTCTCCACACTTCACTTCCGATGAGAAAGAGAAAGAATGGGAAAGAAACCAAGATATATGGCAAAGGCTACCAAAACCATAGACCCCAAACAACCTCCCCCCAGCCGCCACCACTCACCCCTACTAAAAAATTTAAAATTAAAAAAGAACCAAAAAGTTGAAAACAACTTAACAAATTCAGAGAAAATGGTTTAGCTTAATTTCTCCTTTTCCAAAATCAATCTTTGAACCTTGCTAACACATACTGCATCAAATTTATAATAGAAGTGCCGCAATTTCCTGTATGCTATTAAGATACATGCATCAACTTGGTCTTCATACTTCTCATAGAGTGCAGGAACTGTAAGAACAATCACAATGCCTGCAAAGAAAAGAAACCCAAAGTCAATTTCCAACGTCGAGAACTCTTTGTTTCCAAAAGTAAGAATATCGGGAGTAACTATAACTTACTAGTGTATCCCAGTGTGAGGAAATCGGTCAAGCCCCCGATCACAGATACCAGCACCAGTCCCACAGAGACCTTAACAAACATATTTGTGTCTTTACCAAGGGCAATATCCTCAGATGCAGACAGCAGCATGTTGATGTGATTGCGGACGAAACATGCTGCTTCATTTACCATTTCTTCAGAGAGATACAGATGCGGCAGAGGCGGAGCTGGTCTGTTGTAATTTCACAGAGAAGGTTCAATTACAAAGAACCAATGAATATAATTCGAGAAGGTATATCAGACAAGCTGATAATAATATCATGAACTACTGTTCTGGATGGCTCTAAAAGGTCTCAAGATAACGTAGTTTGACTATGAAGAAATTCATAAAACCTCATGCTGCGAAACCTCTCTATGCTACGACTTCCAGGTTGAGGATTAATCTCATTGAATCTGCGAGCAGACGACTTCCTAGTGAAACATTTTTCCATTTCCGTATCTTTTTCTTGTGTTCTGTTTTCCTTTTCTCCTACTGTTCCATCAAAGATCTGTAACACTACCAACATTTATATACTTTTATAAAATATTGAACTATCTCAAGTTGATTTAATTCTCTGGCAAGCTGCTCTTGTATAATGCATTAAGGAATTATAAGCTTCTCTGTGCACCATTGGCCTTGGGAGGAAGCTAGAGTCCCCACAAAGGTAGCATGCTTTGGAAGGTTTGTAGTTTCTTAACACATGATAATTTTAACTTATAAATTGTAATAGGTGCTACATGTGTGAGAATCACTTGGAGTATAAATCATATGTTCTTGCAATGCCCAGTGGCTTTGAGATTTTGGGTATGCTTCTAAAGTCTTCTTGGAGTAAAAAGAGATGATGCCTAAGTCCATGAGACAATTATTATAATTTTGGAAGAGGGTAAAATCCCTAAACATTGGTATGTAAAGCAAAGTTGGTCCTAGATAATCAATCAAATAAACAAGAAATGAAACAGCAAGGAGGCCAAACGGAGCATTAAGTGCTAGTGAAACTTTGTCGAAGCTTTGTTTCATTTAACATTTCTAATTTCTTAATAGCTTGCATCTCAGCATCTAATAGAACCTTCCCCCCACTCCCCGCAGGGACGGGCAAAATGATGAAAGCTTTTCACTATCAGAAAATGTTAAATCATTTTGGTTTGCTACATGTCAATCACTTCCTTCCTTCCCTTATCCGATTTAATGTAGTATCTACAAAACCAGTGGAGGATCACCCACATAAAGCAAATGAATATCCTGTGGGATAAATAACCAATCCAATATGGAAAGAAAGCTCATCAAAGCTCTATATCATAATTGAGGGATGTGAGATCATAAGACACATTTATTTTGTGCTACTCATTCACCACATACAGCTAACTGAAAAAATCATAATATAAAAAGAATTTGCAAAAGATTGTTGTTTACCTGTTAAGAATTGCAGCTGATTTAGCCCACAGAAACAAAATGGTGAAGAGCAGCAAGAAAACACTTGAAACTAATGATAGGAGTGTATAACCAGATATCTCAAAGACCACCCAAGCAAACAATGTAATTACAAGAATTCCCACTGTCACATCTTTTCGCCTCCATAGAACAACATCCGCAACTGTTTCAAACAAACTACAATTGAATCAAACACAAAACAAAATGACCAAGAACAAATTGTTTATCACAAATAGTTAGTTGACCATTAGCTATAAAAATCTCATCTATCCATATCAAGAACTCATTTGCGATAAATATGTCAATCAATTTCCAGATAAACCAAATTATGAACTTAAATTCTTCATTAAACAAGCATTGACATGATCAAGAATTTGCCAGCATTTGAATTAGGTGGACTTACCAAAACCTCCTCCAAGGATCTGATGAAGACTTCTTTGTCTGTTAAATAGCCTATCATTTGAACCCATTTTTCAACCAATTTCTAAAGACCAAGAAAACCCCAACTCCAAGAACCTCAAATGAAAACTACTTGTATAACAGAACAGAGAAAAAAGTCACAACTTTGGTATCTTTAGTCAAAATTTGTGTATAGTTCATCACCAAGAATCAGTCTTTTTACTTTTCAGTTAGATGGAAATGGATGAATATTGAGATATGGGATTAGTGGCACTCAGATTACAGCCTAAAAGCATGAAAACATACTCATGACTTTTATTTTCTGCACTGTTTTTTCAACCCCAAAGAATAAAGATTTGTTTTTTAAAATAGAAAGTGGGGGCTGGCCGGTTGAGGAAGTTGCCTTTGGGACTTGATTTTTAAAGGAAAAGAAAGAAAAAAGATGGGTCCAGGGGAGGAAGTGAAACATGAGGTTGATCTTGGAATAGAGTCGTTTCAAGTGTTTTACTTCCAAATAAAAAATATGACTGTGAATTTAAATTACAGTTTGTTTGGATGGTTATTACATATCATTTCTTAATATGTCGCATGTAATATATTATATTATATTATACATTAATATAATATAAATAGAATAATAGTAAGGGCAAGATGAAAAAAAAATAAGATAACGTGATCATACCAAGTCGATCGTTACGTAAAGGAGGTCTTTCCATTATTACATAACCACGAATTTAATGACATGATACAATAAAATTAAAATAATAATCAGAACAAATATTATATTTAAAATAATAATCATCAAAAATAAACTGTTAGTGGAACTCCTTAGAGGATACCAAACATCAAATAAGAAATTAAAAAAAAGAAAAAGAAATATGAGGTTGATGTTTTTAAATAAAGAAGACAGGGACATTCCCCTGATTCTCACAGCTAAGCTGTCATGTGGGGCTGCTGATCCTGTTTTCTTCTGTCTTTGTAATAATTGTTCTAGTAGATTTTAGTCTTCCTAGTACCTTTCAACAGTAAGGAAATTTAGAGGTAAATGATTTGGGTATTGAATGGAATATTTTTTCTTTGGTAAGTAACAAACTTTATTACCATTAGAAATATTTACAGCTCACAAACAGAAAGAAAATTGAATGGAATAATTTGTATTCAAGAAAAAGAAATTTTAAAATAAAAATAGATTTGATGTTTATATATAAATGGTGTAAAAAAAATTGCACTATAATATATAGCAAGAACAATTTTACTTTTATGCACTTAAAGAATTTACTTTGTCGTAAAAGTTAAATTCAACTAATATACCTTTTGAATGATAACTATAAGTACTAAAGTAGTACTCCCTCTGTTTCAGTTTATGTGAACTTATTTCCTGTGCTAGTGAAAGTTAATAGATACTTAATGGAATAAAAACATAAAATGAGTGCAAGTGATCCTAACACCATTGGTATCAAAGAAATAATAATAAGGTTTGGAGGAACTTCTCCTCACAAACTTAGATTTTGTTTCTCACTTAACAATGACATTATAAAAATTCATTTAACTAATTTTACATTACACTACTATTGTTCGAGAGTAAAAACAAGTTTTATTTAACAAAATATTTTCCTATATTTTGAATTTTTTATTTTTTATAATTTGTTTTTGAGTTTTGCGCATTATTTTGCTTCTAACTATGTAGAATTTATTCTCATAAGGTTGAAAAGTTGTTGTATGGATGATTCGTGAATGAACTGCATCTCTCTTTCTCCAAGTAAATCTTTCAACGTATCTCAATTTATTTTATTTTCATTCGTGAATTTTCTTTAGCAAAAAGGGCGGATTTTAGACGGGATATTTGCATCTATACCCACTTTTTGGGTCACGTTTTAACTTGTGCTTGCTTTGCAAAAAAAATTGCAAGCGTACCCACTTTTTCGCGTAACTTCAGCATACGGGGCTGAAGTAGCAAAGGCAATCACGCAAAACTTCAGCATTCTAGTAGACGGGACTGAAGTAGCAAGTGTGGTGAACCAAGTATGCTGAAGTTTTTGTTTGTAATTGCTGAACTTAAGCATAGTAGCTGAAGTTTTGTTCTCTATTTGCTGAAGTTTTTGTTTGTAATTGCTGAAGTTTTTGTTTTTGTAATGGTAACTGGCAAACTTCAGCCCTAGAGCTGAAGTTTTTGTTTTGTAACTGGCGAACTTCAGCTCTAGAGCTGAAGTTTTTTTGTTTTGTAACTGGCGAACTTCAGCTCTAGAGCTGAAGTTTTTGTTTTTGTAACTGGCGAACTTCAGCTCTAGAGCTGAAGTTTTTGTTTTGTAACTGGCGAACTTTCAGCTTTAGAGCTGAAGTTTTTGTTTGTAACTGTCGACTTCAACTCTAGAGCTGAAGTTTTTGCTATTTATTACTAATGAATCCACAATAATCTTCAAAGGGGGAATCAAATCGTATGGCAATCCCACGACGATTTTCAAAGTGTGAAATTCACATCGTATAGCAATCTAAGTCCTTGTGAATCAAACAGCTAGTATTCTTGCCAAATTACTTGTCGCGTTTGAGTTTAGTACTTTTTTACTTTACATTAAAAGGAATTTCTGAGAATCTGATTAATAGTAAGAAATATTTATTTAAAAGAGAATAGCTGAAGAATAAACTTCGTCAAGAATGCCTCCACAGCCCATGTCAATTACTGGAACATTTTCACAAATCAGCGACTTCAGAAAGGAGTGGCCTATCGATTGAGGGCGGATATA